AGCTAATTTGGGTCAGTTCTCTTCCCCTAACATCACTATCCAGAGCTACATAGCACTGAAAGTGCAGACAGAGAATGTTTTTTCCACCAGACCCAGTTCCAGCACTTCATCCATCCAGCTTCCAAACCCAGCTGCCCGCTGCGCTATGTGTAGCTGTTGGGCTCAGTGCACCCTTGCTCACTATCATTGTGATCATGCCTATTCGGTGTGTCAACTCCTGCAATTTCTTGCTCCGGTGCATGAATTTGGTTTTAGTTCAGCTTTTGTAGGATTACCTTGGAATCCTTCGATCAAGTAAAGTCCATTAAGAACTCAATTGGTGTAATTTCAGGTCCGGGAAGTCCTAAGAGGTCCTGAGAAAACACATAGGCCCCTCGAAATTATTGTCCCGATCAAACCCATGTGTTGACGCAAGACCGCTCAAATGGTCAATACATGCACGGACGATTTGTGTTGAGTACTTGGTTGAGGCCTGATGACATGACATCCCAGACTTCATTTCTCTCGATATTTTACGTGATTTTTTTTACAACCTTCAGCCAAACTATCTAGAAATCATGCAATAAGATTGTGTGACAACGCTAACATCAACCGACCGCACAAGTCAGCTGATCACGCAACGGACATGCGTAAGCACTTAAGCATAAACTGTACATGTACATGTATGCATGTACAAAGTTAGTGGGTTTCAAAATGTGTACAAAGTCAATGGAAGAAATTAAATCTTAAAAGTTAATTAATAAATCATTTCATGACATCAAAGTGATGTCATGCTTCTAGGTTCATCTATGCAATATCGTCTTTGCTTGGACCAAGTGTCATTTTGTGAATTGACCAAAGTCCATACCATTCCGGCAGTTGAAAAATGTGTACAAACCTACGGGGGAAAATAAATATGAAAAAAATCAGTGAAAATTCAGGTCATGACATCATCATGACAGCATGCTTCATGGCACATCTTTGCCATAGGGTCTTTGCTTCAGGCAACTTTGATGAAGATTGAACCTTGGAAAGGGACTAAAGTGGTGCCAAGAAAAACTGTGTACAAACGAAACGGGATTTGGGAGACAAGAACAGCCAGGAGAAACAGGAAAAAAATCAAAAAAGAATGCCATTTTCCCAAAATGCAAAAAGGCCCTCTAAAAAGATCTTGACAAAAAGAATGCCCTGTGGAAAATCCAAAAACGAGAAGTTTACGCCTGTTCAAGAACAGAACATAAGGCTTTTCCGCATTTTGAATTTTTTTAATGAAAAAGATAATAGGGCTTTAAAGAATGAACGTTAAATGTCACAATAATATGGATCAAGTATAAGGGCGTTCTTCAGGATGATTGACTTGCATATCGCAGCGATCACGCACCATGCACGAAATGTGATAGGATTTAGCAAGTTGCCAAAATGTTGCACACTCTGCGCAGCAAGCAGAGCTTGGCACATTGATAGCTTATATTGTGAACTCAATTGTCTTGTCGATTTGTGTCTTGTTGCAGTATTTCAGAACTGTATTTCTATATCGTGTTAGTGATCTGACAATCATACTGCAACATGGTAAATGTCCAACCAAATGCTCATAATGGCTGAACACAATTGGACGTGCTAAGACATTTTGTCCAACCACTTGTTTTCTGTCTCAATTTACACACTTGATGTTGTCTCACTCTTGGGAAAACCTTGGAAAATCTTTTCTAGCTTATGGGAAAACCTGGGAAAATCTTTTCTAGCTTATGGGAAAACTTGGGAAAATCTTTTCTAGCTTATGGGAAAACCTGCGAAAATCTTTTCTACACGTAGCTTGTGTGAAAACCTGCAAAAATCTTTTCTAGCTTGTGGGAAAATCTGTAAAAATCTTTTCCCACTGTGAGAAACATGTTTCACGTTTCATGAAATGAAAATATATTTCCTGAGAAGAGAAACAGTTGTAAGAGAATTTCCCATTCCCAGGTTAACTTGCAATTGCAGTGTAAATGTACTGTACTATGTACATACATGTACATTGTACATGTGTGTACTTATGAAAGATTCCTTTGTCTCCATATACTGTATTGTGCAGTGACAACAAACGATCTCTTGTTCTCTCCCAGGGATAGGTGCAAAGTGGGTTAATTTGCCCACTTCCTCCTGCTTTGCTGAGTTTACTCCAATCCAACAAATCAAATGCTTAGTAGGGTACAAAGCATGTGTTGGTCTTAGTTTTGTTTTTTTACACATTGATTCTTCTTTTGGAGTCAGCCTGAGAGGTTTTTAGCATCGGTCAGCTCTGTCATCTGCTGAGCTCTATGTGTACATGTACTTCAGTGGGAGTTCATTTCCATCCAATGCTGAGTCATGGGGTTGCACTTTTCAAAGCCGAAATGTTCTACATGTACATGTACATGTAGGTCTAAGTGGCGACATTGTATTGCTGAGAACAAGGGATTTCTGCGTCTTATCAAAGTTGGCATCGTGGGTCAAACTTTGGGTAAGGTTTTAGTCATCTGAAGATCAGTTAGTAGTAAATGTAATACAGAATCATTCTTTTTGGAGAAGTCAGCTGTGCTGAGAGAATCTTTGTTGACTGGCAGGCTGCAGTCCGTACAGTACTCGCCACATATTCAACATTCAAAGCCTAAAGTTTTACATTAATGCTTTTTATATATCACACTGCTGCTGTAGGTTTCCATATTGATAAGTAAGCCTGAAAAAAGTTTACTTTTTATCCGCTGCACTACATGTACATCTGTTGAAATAAGAAATTATATGAATCAGAGCATATTTGTTGTTCCTCAGCTAATTAATTAAGGTTCAGTCTTTAAAAGTTATTTATTTATATTTTCAAATGTAAATGCCTTCTACATGTACATGTAGGTAGTTTTTGATTTTTTTGTGAATATTAATTAATGGATACAAACATGTACATTTACATATATAGCCTGTAGAATATTCAACAGGAAATACATGTACTTGTAGCTCCCACATTCATTGGAAAGAATAGACAGAATACATGTATGTACATGTAATAGATCCCACTTTAACTTATGTAATTTGATTCACCTGGTCCAACTCTGTAACTAACAAAGTTGTACATGTACATCCATACGGGAGTAGCATGCAGTCAGCAGTTTTGTATTTTATTTCTCTGAAAATTAATTGGAAAACATCATGCGTGACATACACTGTATGTAGAACTGTACATGTAATTCAAGTACTATTGTGTGAACTTTGTCAGTTTGTATAGCTCCATGTATGGACTGTGCTAGGTCAAAATGAGTCTCCCCCCTGAAGAGGAACAAGAATGAAGAATGAAGAGGAACAGTCAAAGAAACAGTTAACAAAACTCCATCTTATTGTTGAAAGTGTAAAAAAAAATTTACTACATGAACACCAAAGGAATGTTCACATGAAAGGGTCCGTGAAAAGTGGTTTTTATTTGTTGTAATTGGAAATTGTACATTTTTAAATGTCAAGAATGTAAAAGTTATTGTTTGATTAATAAATGGAAGCAAAAACTTCAAACGTTTTTGGCAAAATGGCCACGCCCCCGAGAGGTATCTCATCAACAGAAAATTTGCATATCTGTGACAACATTTGCATATATCTGTGAGCCTGTGACATACATTTGAGAAGATATCGTGTGCATAATTAGCACGTCAATGCACATCTCGGGTTGAGTTCAGAAAATTCAGTCAAATTTTGGGTGTTTTAGAGTTAATACGAATCAGATGATTTTTTGCCAGAGGCAGCAGTAACACCTGTAAAGATTGTATAAGCCTGCAAAACCCTCCAACTAAAGCGAAATTTAGTTGAATTTGGACTTTGAAAGTCCCATTGACCAGGGCCAAATGGTCAGGACTGACATAGAGCTCCAAACTGCAGGGCACACTTCAAGTCACATCGTTTTCTTTTGAACAGGTACAAATTGTTTTGCTGAAGTCAGAAGCCACGCCCACAGTATGTTGGATTAACAAACATGCCCGTGAACAAAGACAAAGTGCAGCTCTCACGAAACAGGAATGACAACGGGTACGTTTCCAAATCGGCCCCTGCTATTCCACGCAATACGTTATGCAATTTCTCATACGTTGGCCGTACTGCATGTGCACATGCTTTTTCCATGTGCGTGGGCATCATGCACATGGACTTGTACATGTGAATGTGAGTATTTTACATTGGGACATTCCGTAGGCACGCAACTTGTGCGTGTTCAATGTCCATGTTCCTCTTGGGTCTACCGGTACAATGTAGATGAACGGAAAGTGTGCCTGACTGTAATCTGGGTTCTCAAATATATACCTCAGCCGTAACGCCATTATATGTCAGGATTAAAACGTTTCATTTGAATCATTTGAGGGTCTGTAAAAAGAACCACTACTTAAGAAATTGTATTCCATTTTTACATCCCCCTATCATGATGTTGGCATAGTAGTGAATATTTTAAACAATCCACAGTTTGCCCACGGAGGTCTTCATGAGCCCTTTAATTAAGTATGTAATGTAAGCATGTACATACAGTACATGTAGTACTTGTACTTGGGCTTTCATTACATGAGAGACTATACAGGTCACAGGTCCTACATGGTTTATCAGTACCTGTAGCTGTTTCTAGTCTTGAGGCCCGTAGGCAAGGGGGGATTTGAGGGGTTCGAACAAACCCCTCCCCCCACGCTCACTTCTGAGTTCCGCTTGTTGGTGGTCTTTTTTTTTGTGCACTGAATATTTTACATATACCATAATATTCGGCATACAAGCCACCGCTTATACGTTGGTTCTAAGCTCAATGTGACCACAATTCTGCATATTAATTAGTCAATCTCCAGTCATGTGTACCGACAGGAAGTTCCAGCAAATATCCACATTTCAGGTGTCTTAAAGGGTTTGAAATTGATGTATTTTTGTTAATTTTATTCAATATTGTAAACTACAGTGTACAAGTCTTACATGCAACCTTGGGTTCGTGACATGCAGCTTTTCAGTGTTGTAAATATTCCAAGCTCATTGTGATAGACCTTTGTATAAAAATATGTGGTCACAGTGCCAAAAGTTCCACTTTTTGGTTTGACGAACCCTCCCCCCAGTCTCTGGTCAGGCAAAGGGCCTGGTGTTCCATGATGAGGATAGCATAAAGCTGCTTTATATTCTATTTCTAACTTGTACCTGTGGGAGATTTTTTTAAGGTGTTGGCTTTTCTTAGCTGAAATATTTGAGAATGTTTAAAAACTCCCTGGAGCTCATGCACACACTACAGGTACATGGAGTGACATCGTAACATGCATTGTTACATGCACAATTAATGAAATTCAGTTTGCAGAGGAAACATGTTAAGGTACCGTACATGTATGCACAGCTATGGTACATTATACAAGTAACTGACTGAAGTTCAGAATTTCCAATGAGGTTGCAGGGTATCCACGTGTCCAGGGATGAGTCATCACTCATTAGCATTACAGCTCTCTCCATACACACTCACTCAAGGTTTATTAATAAACATCAAGGGGTCTGTATAGAGACTGGAATAAGGAAACCTTGGCTTTCCTTACTGGTCTGAGCTTCCATGCATACATGTACATGTATACATGTACGTTTACATACATGTATGTACCCCCTTCAACTTCAGTCTACTGATCTTCTAGTGGCACTTGCATGCACATTGTTAGTATTATGTCAGTGAAGAAACACCTGTCTCTGTGGCTGATAAATGGGCTGCCAATACTATACTGCAGGTAGTGTGAGTTGGATAGTGGTTGGCCGTCCATGGTAGGTTTTACTTATAGGGATGTAGAGTTATTAACAGTTTTTAAATTGTCATTTGTATTGAATGTTGAGCCAAAGTTTGGAATAATTTGTACATGTACATGTGTGAGGGTTTATTTGGTAATGTTAATGCCAGATGTACAGCAGTAAACGAACATTGACTGTGGTCTGTGGGATGTACATGTACACGTAACCTCCACTGGAGCACCTTGAAGGCCTATTGTGCCATGTGTACTGTACATGTATGTGGAATCCCACTATGTTCTCAGAAACCTTGATGTGCATGTACTGTGTAGTGCTGTAAAATAGAATTTTAAAGTCAGGTTATGGCTAGCCATAACTAAAAAAATATATATCCATATCACTGTATGTACCGGGTATTTGAAATCAGTCAAATGACACTTTTGTATGCATTTTGTGGGAAACATTTCTCTGTTCATAATAGAATAAATTAGAATAAATTGTAACAGTCAGTATCTTTGTATCACATGTAATACACCTCAATCCTACGGAACATATTGTATTGTAGATTCATGTACTGTATACATGTATGTCTGCATTTACATGCCATTTTTTAAGTGGTCATCTGATTTTTAGCCTTTATGACCCAATAATTGCTTTCTTTTTTGTGATAGGCTCAAAAGAACATGGTCAGTGTGCATATAATACACCCCTTGAACTCTAGGGTTTGTCATCTATGATTGTGGGGGATGCATGGCTGACAATACACCAGTACATGTACATAAATGTACCAACCATTTACATTTGCTTAATGTATTTTGGTAGTGTATTTTGGTTGTAGTGGATGTAGACTTGTAATAAGGCTATATGTACTGTATAGTGTCTTTGCTTCTTCAATTGGGATAAAACTCTTGTACATTTAACAGATGATATCCCAGATACATGTACATGTAGCATGCTTACACATGTAAATTGGACTAACGTTGGCCAATGTTGGCGCGACAGCCTTCGAGTCGTCATTGTGATGCTGTCAGGCAAAGTTGACCTGACGTAAGTTTTTCCATCAGGCCTTCATGATGCCAACGCATTGGCTGGATGTCAAACCGACAAATTATTTCGACGTTGGGCATATGATTTATTACAAGCGTTGGCCCAACATAATTTTTTCCGTAGGGTATTCATAATGCCGACACGCTGGCTGGCTTTCGACCCGACACATTATTTCAACGTTGGACTGACGATTTATTACAAACGTTGGCGTGACATACTTGACACAAACGTCAGGCCAACCTTCGTTTTCTGGTATTGTTAAAAACGTGGTTACAAGATGTTGGCTGAATGTTTTTTCCATGGAACTGTAGTTATTCCTATGTGTTTTTCATGACGTTGTGCCATCGGATTATTTTTCTGTCAATAATCACTAATAATAAACTCCCGCACGACAAATTTTGCCCAATATTGCCCATCACGCTTCCCCCTTTTGTTCGATGTTCTGTTGAATGTTAGCACCATGTGCATGTATTTTTCCTACATAAAGGGAGAAACATCTCTATGACATTGTTGTCTAGAGCACTTACAGCCAAGGTAGACAGTGAATCAAATCTCTTTGAAGGTTTTTGAAGCAGCTGGCTGTGTTTTCACCATCTCCAAACACGTCAGTGTCCCAAGTGGGTGAATGCTCATGCATTCCTTGGGGGGGGGGGAAGATGGGGGTAGTGTTCCAAACCTGAAAAAAAGAGGAAAGTGTCGGTGATTGTAGTAGCAAGATATTATTTGAGCTCAGTTTTAAGCTAAAAGTGCCGCACTGAAAATATTTAGCAAAACTAATTGTGAGGAGATGGTATATAATTTTGTGGACTCGTTTGTGACACATGGTCAGCAGTGAAGAGATATACATGGTATGACAATATTGAATGGTGAACAATATTTAATTGCACCGAATTCAACTCTAAAAGACTGAAACATATATTCACATTGTACGGTATCTCGCACTTGTACCGTAGATAGCAAATGAATATTTCGGTAATATTATTGAACTCATTTACTTAAACATTTTGCTATTAAATTGTTTGCGTTCCTACTTATAATTACTATTTTCAAAAATTTCCCATTGTTCACCTCTATGCAATTAGCCATTCCTCCAGATCTGTGACTTAGCAGAGCTTAAGTTTGTTTTCAAAACAGCATACGTCATGCATGCGGGAATGGTAATTTCAAAACTTATGATGAATCTTAGATCAGCTCTGTGTGTATAAGATACTTCAAACCGAAACAAAGGATCAGCAATACCAGTCTGTGTTCTGTATTCAAGATCTTAAAAACAGCCGAAAAAATTCTGCAAATTTCCTGTTCCATACCTTAATTTTGAAACGATTCTCTGCATATAAGCATGCAGTTTGTGAAAATGCACCACAAAGTACATGCACATTTAACCGTTTCATGCAAAATAACACAGGACAGCATTTTATAGTGAAGCCATTGTAACAAGTTAGGCATCGTATGTAAGAATTACTTGAAATCTATAAGTTTTTCAAGTTTATTATTTCTGATAACTGCTTTAACCTAAACTTTATGCTACCTGTATAACGACAGACACTACAGACATTTACACAGTGTAAACATACCATTTGTAGACAAAATGCAACTTGCAAGTACAAAAATTAGGACACTACATGTATGTCGAATCACAGTATTGTACATGCTGTAGCACTCGCAGCTTGCTTGAGACTGCGATGGTTATGACTTGTAGTTGTAGCAATAGCTCCAGCATCCATCATGTTTATGGATAATAAACAATAAAACCAACGCCCAATGACGTGACATGTTTCCTGCAGTTTTTTCCCCACTAAAAGATGGATTGAATGATTAATTACTTTGTCAGTCACAAAATATATTTGTGTTGGCATGTAAAACCTTGTGAATATACAATGTAAAATAATTCACCAACATTAGCACAATGGCGAAACCCCAAAGTCATGCACACTATACACTACGTTGGAACAATATCAGCAACTTGACCCATCACCAACGTCGGCATACAGCTGGCATGCTGACGTCAACATGCATATTGTGTGCTTATGCCAGCGCATTGTGACGTCAAATATACAAACCAATAGCCAACGTGAGGCCTATGTGACTAGTCGACTAGTCAGCAATACCAAAAGGTATTGGTGGTCATGACATTCAATTTCTAGATAGTCGACTAGTCATGATGCGGCGACTAGCCGGACTGTGCCATGACTAGTGGCTTGAACTCGTACGTAGCGCATAGCCAGCGGCACCCGCAACTACACAGTGGAGTACCCACCAGGCCTCGCAGAGCATGCAGTGCTGTGCCACGTGTGTTCAGAGCAGCAACACGTTGCCCATAATTTTCTTCTCCAATGTTTATTTGACATGTTTACAGCCATCAGACGCGACAACTGAAGGGAGCCCGCAGCCTGCTTCAGCGCACGCATGCACGCAGCCATAAACTGGTCCCTGTCCTTCATTGTTACAATCGTAGCACTGTGTCAGGGGTGGGCACCAGTCAGATGTAAGCGCTGTGTGCTTTTCACCTCTGAAATGTCGTTGATCGCATTGCATAACAATTAAAGTTTCCTTCCAAAAAGTGGTAGTAAGTAAGCAGAGAAGCAAAGAGGGAATATCATAAGGATTTCTGATGAAAGTTTTTATCTTTAAAAAGCCATATTATATTTCATTCATGATAGTGTAAAAGTCCAACTACCCAAAATTAAAAAGTGAAACACAGTGTGACATTGTCCTAAATTACCCACACGTTATGTTATGCAACCACGGACATGGTTTTTTAATGGATAAATAAACAATGCAAATAGTCTCAACTACATGTAATCGCGACTATTTATTGATAGTTGCCACAACTACTAAAATGCACTAGTCGCCCACACCTAGCCAACGTCAGCACACGGTTGGTACATGTACATGTATGCTGACGTCAAAGTGCATACTGGGGGCTAACGTTGGCGCAATGTCGGCGACTTGACGTCAAATATACAAACCAATAGCCAACATTGGCACATAGTTGGCATGCAGATGTCAAGCTGTATACTGCATGCTAATAGCTGAATGGTAACATGTTTAAGTTCTGTCATTCTGAGTCACCTAAGGAGGAACAGTTGTTATAATAAATATCTTGTTAAACATGTTTAAGATTCTGTCATATTCTATTTACATTGTACATGTACATGAGAAATTTTAAGGAGGAACAGTTGTACCGGTACATGCACAGGGTCTGCAATTTTGTTAAAGCAAAAATGTTCACTTTGTAAAATTCAAAGCGTGTGTGTCATGGGTGCGCAAATTTAAGCTTTTCAGCTGATTTTAGCTTTTTGTGCAGATTTTTACTGTAAATTTTAGGTTTGGTACACTGTCTCTCTGTCCGGGTACAAAAGTTTGGGAACTTCTTAAATTAAATTTCGGATTTTTGCTGGCTGTTTTTAGCTAAAGTTGCCTTTTATAAATTGCACATACATGTACACGTATGTACCGGTACAGTTTCACAACAGAGACCACCTACTGTACATTATAAACATGTACATGCACACTACTGTACATGTACTGTATATGTGTACTTTGGGAGGGCTTTCATTTTGATTGTACATGTAGGTGTAGACTTACTGTAAACACGACAAAAATAGTATTTTAATATACAGTACATGTACCTCTGGCCTTGACGCATGTATAGTTCCTATTATGTGATAAAAAAGCGAAGCTGTTAGTCATGACAGTCTGCAGTGCGGCCGTGGACACGTGTGGTAGTTTTTTTTTTAATATGGCGGGTTCCACGAAATATGGACCATTAGATAATGTTAACTTTTGGGGTTCAGTTTTCCTGAAGTGAACAGCAGTTAATTAATTCCCAATGTCTGATGTAATGAGGGGAAGTCATGGCTGATATCAAGAACAATGATGACCGTGTCCATCTTTCAACTGAATCCAAGTTGATTAATTGAAGCATTTTTGATGGACGTGAACAACTTGTAAATCCTACGTGTACATGTAGCCAACTGAAAGTTACCGGG